CCGGATGTCTGCTGGAAAAGTAACACAGCAGAGAGGGAACAGTCCCGGAGGTTCCTGGACTGTGTGGAAGACAACTTCCTGACACAGCTGGTGAGGGAGCCAACTAGGGAAAGTGCCCTGCTGGACCTGCTGCTTATTTACAGAGAAGGTCTTGTGCTGGATGTAAAGGCTGGAGGACATCTTGGGCAGAGTGATCACAAAATAAGAGTTCTCAATTAGTGGAGAAGCAAATAGGGGGGCAGCAGAACTGCCATCCTGGACTTCCAAAGGGCAGACTGGCTTGTTTCAGAGCATGGTTGAGGCTGTCCCTTAGTAGACAGTCCTGAAGGGCAAAGGGCCCAGGAAGGTTGGTCATACTTCAAAGAACTCTTAAAGGCACAGGCGAAGGCCATCCCCAGGACCCAAAAGATGAGTACTTTTTCAGAACCAAAGGTTTGGATTTTTTTTCAGGGAGAAGAGAAAAACACTAACAAGGTATTTGTGCAGAACTCAGATGTCACAAACTTAGTAAGGCATATGTATAGGGATCTCCTTTTCTCTCCTTCTCATGTCCCCCTATGCACTGCATTTATAAAGATAGTTTCTTTCAGAGATCTCTGTACCAGAAATAGGAAGTAAAAACAAATTAAAAAAATACAACAAAAACAAAAGCTTTACAATAAATATAAAGCACCCCTCCCAAGCACAGTTGAGAGGCCACAGTCTCGTGCTTTGGATTCAACCCGAGTTTCATTATGCAGACAGCTTACTCGCACCATTTTGGGGTGTATCACGTCAGTACAACAGTGCGGAATGACTTACCAGAAGAAAGTAGAGGCAGAAGCAAAGTAGAGAAGAATACCAGAAGCAACAAAGAGTAAAGAGTATATGGGCATCTAGTTCTCTCCTGAAGTCAGCAAGTTTGCAATAGAAACAATCTGACACCAGGTAAAATGCAAAGTGTCAGACAATGCCAGTGGGAGACACCACAACACATTCTGACAGTCTGGAGAAGACAAAGCAGCTCTACTGGGAAGAAATTCAGGGCAGACAGATGCGGTGTTGCTGTTTTTGGACTACCTCCAATACATCTAGATACACACTACAGCCAGAAAGGTGACTTACAAAGGACAGGTCCTAATATAAAAATGACACCAAGGGAGTTTAGCACCATGTTAAATAAGATCAAGGACAAAGTCAAGAGGGTTAACAGCAATGAAGGGAAAAGGCTTCTGTGCTGGTCATGCACAGAGAGCGAGACAATTTAGAAGGAGATGTTAGAGCAAAGAAGCAGTAAGCTGTGCAAGCAGCAAAAAAAACAAACAAAAAACAACAACCAAAAAAAACAACAAAGAAAGAGAAAAGTTTTTTGAACTGCTTGGCTGGAAGATGACAAAATGTGCAAGGATGATGAAGGGTGACCATGTGGCTGTCAAAAGAACACGAGCAATGACACAGGTATTCTGACAGGATCAGACAGTAAACTCAGAAACAAAATTCAGGTGTGGAAATAGAAACCTGCAGCTAAAAAGCTAGTGGATCACTTCACAAAATGGAAAGGGTTAACGATCAGTGAAGAATTACACTTGAGTATCAAGGAAGAAGCAGTGAAAAGAACAGAGGACAGTATAATACAGCAGCTCAGAGGAAAGGCAGACAGAGAACACAACATCAGGTAAAAAGGGGAGGTTTGAGAAAAAAAAACAGCTGTTCCAGATCTCTCATCATTCAGACATTTAGTAATATTGGGCAAGGAATCGGAGCATGAGAGTAAAAGGATGGAAAACTATTTGGAGTGACCCATGAATAGCAGACAACTTTTGAGAAAATGTAAAGGCAACATAAGAATGCTGTAAAACTGATGAGTACGGGATCACCTGGGGTTAAGGAGACCGAGGAGAACAGCAAAAACTAAGCTGCAGTCCACCACTATGTACCAGGCAGGCTGAACTGCTACCACGAGAAGCTCTTACCACAAAAAAAACTGCTAAAGATATTTAAACAGTGACCTCTAATGGACAAAATATATAATACCAGTATTTGCACTGGTAGGAGAAACATACCTGAACTCCAGGTACAACCAGATAATGACACAAAAGATAGAATCTCTGAAGAGATTTCCCAAGTAGTAACAACATCAATTAATCACCTCAGATAGGCAAGTCAAATAACTGTTACAGTCACCAAAAACTTACAAAGACAACTCAGTCACATCTATCCAAATTAATCCACCACAGTGAAGGGCGAATCTCTAATTCAGCTGCTAATTTCTGTAAGTTTGAGGAACATTTGTCAGAACTTCTATTCTATTTATATTTTATATTAGTCAAGGGATTCAAAAGACAACTGGGTCAGGCTCAGAAAACCTATGCAAGCTATGCAAGTCTATCTTTAATTTTGCTTCTCAGCTGTGTTCCAGATAGAAGGTTCTAAGGCACTAAATGACAGAACGAAAAACTTGCAGTATAATATATGGGGTCACTGGCCCAAATGCCTACATTACGTTAAGAAAAAATGCACTCACTTTCTCCCTCTACTTTCTACTGGATTGTCACAGGAGACCCCAGAGTGGAATCATCCCAGGTTTGTCAATTACACAGTTCAACAAGACTGCAGAACCACAGCTATTTAGCATCCCCTAGAGTTTGGTTCTGATTTTTAATCACAAGAAGTTCTCATCAAGCCGACTCAACTGTTTTAGAAGTTACACAGAGCAGAAGCAGCCAGTTCAAGACTCTTCCATTAGCACAGCACCAGACAGCTGAAAAAAATCCAGCCTAGTATTCTCCAGAAAAATCAATGTGGATGAGTATTTCTGATGATGAATCACTTAGATATGTAAATGCACAAGCACCAGCAGTATGAATGGCATACTGAAAATATTAACAAAAAAAATGCCAAAAAAATATTCTAAGCAGTATGATGGACTTAATAGTGCAGTCCTCATAGTTGCTAATGAAACTTTACTTACTTTTAATAGTTTGCTGGCAAAAAAAAAAACAAACTATGGTTACATAAAAATATGCACATCCAGTTTTTACATGTATTTATTCTTCCAGATGGACATATTTACTCTAAACAGCAGGAAAAAAAGTAAGCAGACCACTCAATTAAATGGCAGAAAACTAGTAGAAGATGCTAATATGACCTTAGTGTAGCATGTCAAGTGTCATTGCCACCAGCTTTCTAGTCATTTTAAGAACTATCTGCTAAGACAATTAATTACATAGCTTAAAAGATTAGGTCAACAGTGTCAAGTATGGTAATATGAACTTGAAATTTAGCCTTTTGAAAGTGTGTGCTGACTATTTAAATGTCTACAGCAATTTGTGAAAAACAGTAAGTTTCAGACTTAGTGAGCTACTTTGCAGGAGAAGCAGCAGTTTTACCTTCCCATAAAAGAAATCCAAACATACCAATTAGAAAGGCTGACAGAATCCTTTGTCTGAGACAACAGATACACCTGCAGCGTGCTGATCTAAGGGCTACTTCAGAAAATAATAAGTAATTAAAACTTGAGATTTAATATAATATAAATTTAGATTAATGGCAATCCTTAAACTGGTATTTTGAAAACTAAAGATGCTTCAAACAAATGGTGTACTGTGGATTTTTCTTGAATAGTTCAAGTCAACCCGAACATGTTCTTCTTGGACACCTCCAATCACACTATCTTCTTGCTCCGCTATTCAAGTCTGCAAATAAGACTCACAGCTAGGACATGGGTTAGCTACTTATCTTTTAATTCTGGTTCTCATGCTGAAGCACATCACCCTCCTCAGGCTCAGTTCTCAGACAGCCAAGTTTACGTCCATTCAAGTCTCCTTGCAGAAGTTTCTGCCTGTCTTCTCTTCCTCAGAGCAAGGCAGGTATCTGCTACCTGTCCAGCAAGTTGTGTGTTCAGCTGAACTCACCCTTTAACTATGTTTAAGATTTGTAAGGTGTCACATGGAGGAGTTGGTTAAGTCCTTGGAAGTCTGTTAGCTTTCAAAGTTGTAGTTTTTACAAATCCCAGAGAAAGAAGAGTAAAGTTTACCAAAAGTAATGCTTACAACTTGTTTCATTCTTGTGCCAGCTAAGCAGACATTCAGGTAGAACACACCAGAGCAAACAATCAGCAGAAGAGAGAAGTTCCGCCTGGCAGCAGCATGTACCCAACTTGGCATGAGTGGTCCAGCCACAAGCACTAGGTAAGAGTTGAGCAGAATGAACTTCTATCTCAAGGTGCCCACAACACACCAGGAGATGTAGAGAAAGGTGAAGTGGCTCGATACAATTAACTGCCTAGCCTCTCTAAGCATCTCAAGCTGTGGGATCTCCAACATAAGAAGGACACGGACCTCCTGGAGAGACCCCAAAGGAGGGCCATGAAGATGATCAGAGGGCTGAAACACCTCTTTTATGAAGACAGGCTGAGAGTGTTGAAGTTTTAAGCCTGGAGAAGAGGAAGCTCCAGGGAGACCTTATTGCAGTCTTCTTGTTCCTGAAGGGGGCCTACAAGAAAGCTGGAAAGGGACCTTTTGAAGGGCATGTAGTGACAGGACAAGGGGTAATGGTTTTAAGCAGACATAGCGTAGATTTGGATTGGATATTAGAAAGAAATTCTTCACTGAGAGGGTGGGGAGGCACTAAAACAGGTTACTCAGGGAGGTTGTGGATCCATCTACTAAAAGGTAAACTGTATAATTTCTGATACAGTTAAAAAATTCAGAAGACCTCATTTCTTTAAGGACTTCAAGGGCCAAGGTAGGGAACGGATTTTTGGCTGAACTGGTAACAAGACTGAGAACTACACATCTTCCAGTAAGTGGCAGATCTCTATTGAAGTTGGAAAGGCATGTTAAACATGGCTGTGTGACATCCTCATTTTCTTTATTTTAATAAAGTGCTTCACTAAGAAGCACTCTTAACAGAGACTTTGTGCTCTATTTAAAAGATAAAATAAAATCAAACGAGTGGTGTCAGCTTTTCAGTATTACTCAGTTGCCTGTAATGAAGCCCAAAACCAGGAGTTTACTTACTTGTAAGCTTGTTGTGACTCAGAACCAGCTGTGTGATATGAGACAAGGTAACTGCAAATGAAGAGAGAAATAAATTAGTTTATGGACAAGGCAGCTGAGAGTTTCTATCTATTCCAGCTAAAAAAGGGGCAAGTTATTATCTCCACTCCAGTAACTCCAGATTCATGTACACTGCCACAATAACAAAACAAGCTCAAGAGTTAAGGACATAGTCAGGCACTCTTGTCTGTCTCTTTACTTCACTTTTCTGATTCTGCAGCAAACACAACTTGAGCAGAAAGTCCTGGTGCTTCCTAGCAGAGGTCTGGTTCTGGGCACACAAACACCTTTCATTTCTACCCTTTGAATCCTTGCCAAGGGAAAACTGACAGATACTCCAACATTTATCCCAATAGAACACACACCACACAAGCAATTACATTTCTACATGTTTCCAATTCATTTTCAAGTCACTGCTAGATTTAAGTCCTAAGTACCAAAGGCTGCATTTACAGCCTCACATCCACAAAGTGCAACAGCAGACTAGCACTGCTGCAGTGTGGCAAATGGCCAGGGGACAACACGGACAATATGCAATATTAACTCAAATTAACTGAATGATCTGATTGATCAAAGCCACTCACATTCCACCTTATTGAACAAGTGAGTGTGGGGCACAGGGCAGCTACAGAGACCAGCACTCCCCCTTTACACTTCTTCATCCTTTACATTTCTTCTTGCCTACTTCCATCCTCCACACCACCATCACTTTCCCTGGAAGCTCCATAGCCCACAACTGGTAACAGCAGCTGATCAGAAAAATATGTTAAATAGTCAAGAGGTGAAACTCACACCTTAAAGGAATTCTCAAACATCTTCCCAGTAAGAAGTATGTTGAATTTTACTGGAACTAAAAAAACTGAGATATTTTACCTCCCCTACATCTTTTCCTTACTTCCAGTATAGCTTCTTCAAAACAGCTATAGAAACTATCTTTCTGCCCCCCCAAAGCAGCTGGGAACTTTTAATGCCTGAAGGACAGCTGTGGTGCTGTATCTCTCATGCCTTAGAGCTCTCCTCAAGCAACAAACATCACTAACATTAGCTCAGAGACAGCCCACTGGGGTCTTGGTGCCTCAGGGAATGAAGATATTTTGGTGAGCATGTGTGAAAAGTGGCCATGTTAATCAATACTTACTGAATGGCTAGTTAGAGGAAAAAAGGCTGGAAAGCTTTTACTTAGTGATACAGCAATCATCTGCTGCAGCTAACCCTTGAAAGCTCATGACTTACCACAGGCAAATATAACCTAAAATGAAAGCAGTCACACAGGCAGAAACAGGCCAGAAAGGCAGGAACAGATCACAAAGTGATCACCACAGTTGCCTGTGCAATTGCAGATTGTGGAGGAGGAAGGAAAGACAGGGAGGAGAAAGGAAGAAACAGTGTACCCACCCTGAATTTCTCCTAAAATACAAGCTCTCCAAGTACTGCCTGGACAGAATAAGCCCATAGAAAGTCTGTGAGAACATTATAGAAAAAACAGTAGATAAGAGCAGTGGCCTCCACAGAGTTCTAAGGTTTAAAAACATAAAAGGTACATCAGCATCTGAACTATAAGCAACCATTTAACCCTACTGATGACTTACACATATAGTTAAATATGTGAATAAAATTTAGACCAAAAAAATGAGAGAAGCAGCTGGAGGTAGATACAACATTGAAAACAAACCTAAACACTCTTTATGCATTTATTACTCTTGGTTTGGGTATTTTAAGAGAAAAAGTAAATTTTTCATGGGTCCTTGATATTCAAGTCTGACTATCAAGAACACACCACCAGAAGGGCAGCCCTACCAGTTCGCATCCTGAGGTGAGACGTGCTCTAGTCTGACATCTCCAGCTCCAAAGCAACTTAATCTAGACCACTGCCAGATCCAAGCTGACATCAACAATGCCAGAAAAAAACATCTTTTCCTGCATTTCACTTAAGAAACCAGAGCTCTGAGGCTTTGCCTAGACTTACCAGCATCAGCAAGAAATTAGCCTTGCTCCACTGTAAACGATAAGAAAAAATTATTTTCCTACCTGTCAGTGGAGTCACCTACTCTGCCCTAGCCTGTTTCCTCCTACCCCACACACTGCAGTCTTCCACACTGCAACTCAAATGCCCTATCCACATAATGCCCTCCTGACCAAGAGGGCCCTTTGCCTCCTTTTACTCCATAAGCCAATACAGCAAGGGTCCAATTAACCAAGTATCTTCCGCAAGCCTCAACTGTTCAAATCCTAGGTTATCAAAAAGGCAGCAAAAAGCACACAACATGTACCAAAGAATTCCCCCAGCTTTGTACTCTCAGTCCTCCCAGGATGGCAATGATGAAGACTAGCTACATCACCATGCCTTTACAAGTCATGATGACTGTGTGTCAGGCAGCTCTGTGCTTCAAGGATACCAAAGAATGCCTTTAAGGATAAAGAGCAGGGCTCTGGCTGCTGGCACCAGAGCCAGGAAATAGCATTCCAGCTTTGTTCTTGAAGATCTGGAGTACAGGAACATTTCAAAGCTTCTTCACTGCCTTTCCCATTACAGTAGCATGGGAAAGTAAAAAATGTGCTTAATTTGTTGTTGTTGGTTTTATTTAAATAAAATCCATTATTGTTTTTGATACCATGCAAAGTTGCTTCCACCTCACTTTGTTTTTAAAGCAGACAAGTTGAACTAAAGGGATGTAACAAAACCAACTACGACCGCCTCACCTCCATACTAAAATGCCAGCATCTCATTACAAGCATGACAGGCAACTGGTGGGAACCCTGCTTGCTGCTGTCAGACAAAGGTCTGCAACACCCATCAGCTGCAGGTGCAGGGACTTGGAATGTCAAACTGTGCAGCCAGGCACAGAGTGAGTTCTAAGCAAAGGTTTGCACTATTTATTTTTTTTCCTTGGAAGTTGATGCTTCCTTTGGTTTATCAAAGCAGAACCAAGACTGAAGCTGTCACCATACTTTTACGGTCTTGACTAGTTCATTCCAGTTTTTCATAGAGCTTTGCCAGCTTCAGAACATAATCCAAAATTAAGATAATCTGTTCTTTTCTTTGTTATGAGTCCATAATGAACTTCATCACCCTAAAACCAGCAATTCCCATCAGGTGCCTTTTAATAAGCAGCTAGACTGACTTGAGAAACTGCATGAGGAAAGGCTCAAATTTAGTTCATACATCCACCAATATGATAAGCCTTCCTCAGTTCTTTTCTGCCTATGAACCACCTATTCTATGAAGAGGATATGACTTCTATGAATTATTATTTGGTAACACTAAGGCTAGACAGGACCAAGATTGTGAAAATAAACTCTTTAAGCAGTCCTGCTTCCCCTCCCCCCATGCATTGCAAAGTGAAACTCCCATTTAAAACATACAAATCAGAACTCAAACAGACTAAAAGAAGTGTTTAGGATTTTCTGTTTCTGCACTCAAAATGTAATTCAATATTTAAAAGAAAAAACATCGTAAATAATACTTACAATTCCTGCAAGAAGCCACCTATGAGGAAACACCATTTACATGCAACTTCCTTGCACCACAGAAGTATGAAGTCACTGAAGTGCACTAAGTGCTAGACAGCAGCACATATGCAAGTACCTGCTCTGAATCACTTACAAATTAAATTAACAAAGGAAGGAATAAGAAAAGGAAATGTTTTCCTAATATAGAACAGAGACAGACCCTGATTTAATCCATATGCGTGCATATGGCAAACCCTTCCTTCATCATTTCAATACACAGGAAGTGAGGATGCTTACTGAAGGGCAATTAAGCTTTGGGGCTGGAGACTCCGGTCTTCTGCACAAACTCCAAATGTTCTGTACGTATTTAGTTTTTAAAAGTAATCTGCTGACTAAACTGTCAAGCCACATGTACTAATGGCCTTTAACAACACAAGCTGACAAGCACTATTCTCACTACTTCCTCTCTGTATTTCTCCCATTTCTGTCTTCTTCAACCAAGTATTCCTCTAGAAGAGTTTCTTCTCACATGTCTATACAGAATAGAACCAAGTCCTAACATAAAATTTCAAGACCAAAATCACTAGACCAAAGACACTTCAATCTGGACTTTACTGTCCAAACTTGATGGAAGCCTAGACACCTTGTCTGAAACTCCAGTATCTCATTCAATCCTGATGTTTGACGATGAATCCTATTGCATTCTTGACCTGCAAAGCAGGCTGACATCTTTAAAAAGAACAAAAAAGGAACATTCTGATATCACTTTGAAAAGAGAAAAGGTTTCCTCATCTGTGCTGTGGGCTACTTTCAGCAGCCTTTAAGCCACAGCTAGACAAAAAGATTTTCAATCTTGAAAGGTCCAAAGCTACTACCAGTTCAGAGACACATCTGCAAGCATTTTAAGGAGCCTAAATATAAAGTGGCATTTAGTCATTCCTTACAAGGAGGGGAATTTGCTCACTGACCTGCGTGAAACAACCAGCCTCTGGAAACACCAAGTGTCCCGGTACATTGCCACTTGCCTGCTCCTGTGAAAAGGACTGTGCTGTGGGAAGAGCTGACTGTGTTTTTCCTCATCCTATATATAAAGTCAGTTCTGCATGACTACTAAACCGTAAGCTCTTCTGATAAAGACATCTGCCTTAAGTAACTAATTAACATCCCTGAGTAACATCTAGAAGGCAGAAGGGGGGGCAGTGGGGCCATCTTGCTTTGGACATAGGCAGAGGAGCTAAATGTAACTAGCAGGACTCAACAAGGACCACTCAACAGGTCAGATGATTCACCCCAAGTGCTGGTCTCCCGACACTCCAAGGGCACCATGATTCCCTCAGGGAATGACTCCAACTGTAACACCAGTGGAGAAGCTCCTAGACACTAAGCAGCAGCTCCTTGAGGACTTCAAATCTCAGATGCTTTGTTAACATTAATCAGCATACATGCAATAAGTTATTTTTATTTCAAGAATACACCAAATATGCACACAGACCTTTGAGGGACAGGATACTATTGTTTGCCAGAGCACTTTGCTCACACAGTAATTACAATTTTTCATTATCATAGAATGGTTTGGACTGGAAGAGACCTTAAAGATCATCTAGATCCAGCCCCCCTGTCATGGACAAGGACACCTCCCACTAGATCAAGTTGCTCAGAGCCCCATCCAACCTGGCCTTGAACATCTCCAAGGAGAGGAAAGCCACAGTCTCCCTGGGAAATCTATGTCAGTGTCTCATCACCCTTATGGTAAAGAATTTTTACCTAATGCCTAATCTAAATCTGCCCTCTTCCATTTTTAATCCATTACCCCTTGTCCTTTTGCTGCAAGCCCTTGTAAACAGTCCCTCCCCAGCTGGAATGGATCATTTAAACTCATCTCCTTTGGCCCTAATGTCAAGCCTTTTCACATACCAGCGCCATGCACATTAAGTTAGTTTTACATAAAATATTTGTATGACAAGACTTAATTTTTTATTAAATAGAAAAAAACCCAATCTAAACCAGGAAGACTGCAGAGACCTTGCTGAACCAAGATAAGACACTGTCTGTCCCAACAGAGGAAGTTAATGCAGGATGAGCATTACAGTATCCTACAAAATGAATTACAAATAGCCTGTTTCTCCATCTTCTGTGCTTTGGTTATTTTAGGAGCAGACAATTATATCAACACTAACTTTCTGATAAAAAATTCTATGCATGTTAATTCTTACCATGCAAGCATGTACTTTACGTAAAATATGAATAGCTTACAGATGGAATGATAGTGAGAGCAAATTAACACTTACACAGTAAATAGGATTTAATCCAATATTCCTTTCCTGACAACTAGACTACAGAGCAGCAGATGTCTCAAGTTATTTGGGCAAAATAATTCCTTAATCCACAGCTTTCCCATGTCAATCACTTAAAGATACAGAAATGAAAGATTAGAGATTAACCCCTACTCCAAGAACAATTCCACAATTGTTGATGGCTGTTTAAAGTCCTCCTACCAATAAAGGCCCTAACCATCAGGCTAGGAGAAAGGCACACTATGCTCCACTTGCTGAACCCAGCTGTTCGTCCCACAGGATGTCTGTCAATGCTCTCTACCACTACCTGTCCGTACAGGTGCTTTCGTAAAAAACATGATCTGTTCACTTCACAATATCGAATTAAAACCCCCCCCACATTAGATCACTTCCACAGGGAAAGACATTTTTTAAAACTATCCATATGTGGATGCACAACTATAGCATAGATGTGCTCACATTTGGATGGTGTTTTTGCTTCAGTCGGAGAGAGAAGCAAGGATGGACAGGAGGCCAAGTCTCCCCACCACTCCAGTTCCAGAATAACAGCAGTGAGAGCCAGGGAAGGCCCAGGGTCCAGGCAGGGCAGAGGTGATGGGAAAGAGCAGAGGGGCCCCCGCTCCCCACCCAGTCTCTCTGCTGCTGTGGAGGAGGGATCTCCTGGAGCTGTCAGGAGGTGGAAGCAGCGCTTCCCCTGCCCAAGAACCCCTCCCCAAGCCCCTTCCACCTCAAGCTGCAGCACATCCCTGGCACGGACGGGGCTGGGGCAGCAGTGCCCAAAACTGCACTCAGTGCTTGAGGTGCAGCCTCACCAGGGCCGAGTAGAGGGGCAGGATCACCTCCCTGGTCCTGCTGGTCACACTATTCCTGATGCAGGCCAGGATGGTGTTGGCCTTCTTGGCCACCTGGGCACACTGATGGCTCATGTTCATCCAGCTGTCAATCAGCACCCCCAGGGCCCTCTTTGCTGGGCAGCCTTCTAGCCACTCTGTCCCCCAAGCCTGTAGCGCTGCTGGGGGTTGTTGTGGCCGATGTCCAGTACCCAACATTTGGCCTTATTGAAACTCATGCCATTGGCCTCAGCGCATTGATCAAGCCTGTCCAGATCCCTCTGCAGATCTTCCCTACCCTGAAGCAGGTCAGCATTCCCAATTAACTGAATGGAAATCAGTCATCACATCCCCCTCCCCTAACCTCCATCTCAAATTGGAGAAGGCCACAAATCCCCACAGTAAATCAAGTTACACAAGGTGAACCTAGAATATCTGCACACAGACTTCCCTGATGCAGCGTAACTAGGATACCCCAAGTCTACAGTCCATATGGGGAGCTCACTGCCAAAGCAGCTTCAGATGCCTAATAAGCAAATTGGAACAGGGACCACTGGACCCTGGTGTCCCACACTGTGGTCCCTGACCCCACCTGCACAGCAAACGCGAAGTCTTTGTACAAGAAAAGCTTGTTTTTATTTTAGCATTACTGATCTGCTTCACCATTACTGGTTTTTTCCCTACCTGGAAGACCAAAGTGGGCTAATTAATTATGTGTCTTTGTGTGGACAGCAGGCACCAAGTCTACTTATCAAAAGCAACTGTTGTCTGTTGCTACCCCATACCCTTATACATTAGTTTATCTGAAAGGGACAAGCATAGTTCTGAAAATGGATTTGTAGTTAATGTGAGCTAAACACTGCCTTGTCTCAACTGTTCACCCAACAGAAATGCAGGGAAGATTCATATATATATGGGCTTTACAAGGTAATCATCCCGAAATGCCACACACAACTCAGAAGCAGTGAAAGAATCAGTAATGGATGAAGACTTAAGCAGAAAACTGTTATTTAGTCTTCATCCTTTATTCATGCAGCTGAAGATCCTTTGGTGTACTCCTGACTCTGTTGACAATGGTGACTTGGTAGAGGGCCAGACACTTCCCCAAGTTACATATAGTTGTTCCTGGTTGCTGTCAAGTTTAACAAACAGTAAAGAGCTAAAACAGTTAGAGATTCAAGTATGTTGACTGGTTTAGATTTTGCTTTTTTCTCATTATATAATGTATTCTGGAAAATTTTAGCCTGTGGCAAACTGCAGCCAGTCACTTTAGCTCACTGTGTATCAGCTGTACCACAACATCATATGAACTCTCAGGCAAAGCCAAAGCAAAACCTGCCTTGCTCTTCATTTATGTGTTCTCCAGAACCGTAACCATATATTGTTATTGGAATGCTGCACTTGCTGTAAATGAGTTACAGCAAATGCAACACAGCAGGAACAACAACCCATCACAATTCTGGAAGCACATGCAACCATGCAATGTGCAAAGCATGACAGTGCTGTGCCTGCAAGTCAGTGCTGCTTTACTGTCTCCCCTTCAGGAACCTGCCACACATAGCTGCAGGTTCACATCACCCCATCCCTTTCAAAAAACCAGGGGAGCTGGTGTTTTTGCTTCAGTAGGAGGAAGAAGCAAGGACGGACAGGAGGCCAAGTCTCCCCACCACCCCAGCTCCAGAATCACAGCAGTGAGAGCCAGAGAAGGCCCCGGGTGCAGGCAGGGCAGAGGTGATGGGAAGGAGCGGAGGGGCCCCTGCTCCCCACCCGGTCTCTCTGCTGCTGCGGAGAAGGGATCTCCTGGAGCTGTCAGGAGGTGGAAGCAGTGCTTCCCCTGCCCACCAACCCCTCCGCCTCAAGCTGCAGCGCATCCCCGGCACGGACGGGGCTGGGGCGGCAGCCGGGAAGCGGCTGCCCG